TATATATATATATATATATATGTAGTAGATGTTAGAATTGTGCGGTTTGATCCCTTTGAAAGTGGGGAGGTGTTTACCTTATAAGCCTGTTGTGATCATGGCCTTGTAGGCAAAGTTGGATGATTGTTGTTTTGAGTAAATGTTTATTATGTGAAGGTAATGTGATATGATGTGAATTTGTGTATGGTCTAAGAGCATGAAATGTGACCTTGTGTAGAGACTTTATGTGTTATGCTTGGTTGTTGTCTTCTTTGAATGACTTATAATGAAAGTGATGTTAGGGTAGATTATGTTTACATACTCTCACACCTAGTGAAGAATGAATGAAAGAATGAATGAAAAGAATGATAGTTAATGCTAATGAATGAAAGTTGGGTCTATTGTAAGGATAGTCTCATAAAGTACTCCTTTATATGAATGGGGTTCCTAGATGAAAGGTTTTCTCATCTTTGAATCCAAGAGCTTCCTTAATGAATGAATGAGGGTTAGGATGAGTACTCCTTCGTGAGTTGAGATGAGAGTACTTAGTAGCAATCCATATCCCTAAATGAATGAATGTTGGGTTACTAAAGGTGGAGGTCCAACACAAGAAAGTAAAGGTAAATGGGTTATGTATGTTTATGAGGTATTGTGAAGCATATGGCTTTGTATTGTTGGTTGTGAGTTGTAAGGTGCCTATTATGTTGATGTTCATGAGATTTTATCAAAATGGCATGAAAGCATAACTTCCTTACAAATGTCCTTTTTAGCATGTTTTGCATATCCTCATACTTAGTACGTGTGTTGTACTTAACCCCTTTCTTCTTATTTTACTACAAGTTTAGGTTGTGGTAACTAGGAGGAGATTGTGCTTTTGGAGTTGCTTGGATTGCTTCACTCTTCCAAGTCTTTGGTATGTCCTCAAGATTCAGGAATATGTTTAGAAGTTTCTTAGTCATTGTAATAGACACTTAAGTTTCATTTCATTTATAAAGGGCCGTGTCCCTTAGTACGTTTTAAGTTCTTGTCTAAGATTGGCTAAAGAGACTTAGTAATTCCGCTTGCGTATTGATGTTTTCAAATGTTGATGACTCTTGAAGTCCTATGGTTTTATTGAATAAAAGTTTTATTCTGGTGATGATTCAACAAGTGTCTTCATTTCTGGTGATCTGGCCGAAAAACTTCTCTCCATGAAGGCAGAGGACATATTTGACACAACCTGCATCAAGGTTACCTCTTACTTATATTTCTTAGTGTCTGTGTTTATATATACTTAATATACTTCTGCAAACGATTTCTTTTTGCTTCCAGAACCAACTTCTCCGTGTTGATCAGACCCAACAAATGTTGTCGAAAAGACTATTTCACATTCAACTGAGAAAGTCATCATCCTGGACAAACTCTAATGTTACTTAGTCAAGTCTAACAGTTCTGTCCTACACGGAAAAAGAACATGTATCTCTACCAGGCACTAGCGAGAGGAACATTAAAAAGGCCAAATCGTTCGATGCTAGCGAGGTAGAGATGAAAGCAACATTTGTTGAATCTGAATCTTCCAGCAGCGATGCCTCAATTGAACCACCCACGCCAATGAAGAAGTTGTGAAAGGTTAGTGAACCTGTCGGTGAAGTTAGGCAAATTAGTCGGTCTTTTTTCCCCTTTCTAAAAGGATGTTACAATTAACTTGACAAGCACCCAGGGCCGGCTCTATGCTTCTTTGAATAAGGCATTGGCCTTAGGCCCCAATTTTAGGGGGCTCAATTTTTTAACAATAATAAATTATGTGTTGTTTTTTTTTATAGAAAAGATTAATTATTTATGATAAAATATATATTTTTAAAACAATTATTATTTTATTCTTCTTTAATCTCATTTAAATAGAAGAAATCAAAAAAATTGTTTTATTTTCTTACATTCTCTATGCTAATATTCACATTATTTTATTCTTTTTAACTCCTTTTACACACTTTTCTTTAAATTTTTGATAAGTTAGAGTAATATTCTATCAAAAATATGAATCAATAGTCGAAAAGTGTTGAACAAAGTGAATTGTAAATTCTTTTTCTATTCTTCTTAGATTTTCAAGCATTACAACAAGCATAGTAAAATGTGGGGTATACAAAATTATCAACTTCTTGAATCAAATTCTAAGTTAACAATTCATATAATAATTGTCCGAGTAAGAAAATGTTTTTCAACGTTGAAATTGATAAAATTTTATCTAAAGCTAATAATTGAAAAAGGAATCGAATAAATCATTTATAAAAATATATTAAGTATACTTTGCATTTAAAAATGTAAGTTTTTTTTATTTTTAAAAAAATTAATGCATATGAAGTTTATTTAGATTTTTGGCCTCTAGTTGAAATTTCGCTTTAGCCTCTGATTGCGTTGAGCCGCCCCTGCAAGCACCAGTATGAGCTTACTAAATATGTCTAGCTGAAATGTGGATTATTGTTAGATTTCAGATACTCATGCCTATTTAGTTCTGATAATAACATATTAAGGGGTTGGAAACGGAAGAATTGTAAGGCTTGCTTAGATAAGTAATTTTAAGAATCTATTCTCTTCTGAGAGCTACGAATCCATTACAACACATGGTATTTTCCCTAACGATCAGTAATGAGGAATTAAGTGAAATTAAAAGAACCAGAGGAAGACTCCATAACTGATAGAACCAAGGATACTGAAATTGAGTTTGTCTCAACAGGTCCTCCTAAGTTATTCCAGCCATTATTTCATATTGACCTTACATTAATAAGATTCATATTAGTCTTTCAACCTCTATTTCGAAGGCTCATTAGTTCATTATTATGCTTTTTTAAATTCAATTAGACAACATAATGTTAAGTGTTCCGAAGGTCGATGACTTAGTAAAAATTCACTCGACTGTGTCAAGGCAAACATGTCAACAATAACGAATAACTAGTGGCTGCTTTAGAGCTTCAGCTATATATTTTCTTCTATCTGAACCCCTTCATTTACCTTCTTCAAATAAATATGCGGTCAGTGGAAATAATAAAGTTCATACACTTATACGAGGATCTTACGCTGACTATTTGTAGCATGTGCACTTTTCAATAATTTGCAGCAATAGAAAATAGTAATGTCCCCATGGGTACATTGAATAGTGAAGAAGTTGGGATATGTTCAGAATGTCTACAGACGCCAAGTAGTATTTTTAAGTTTTTGGCTTCTACATCAAAGTATACTCTGTGTTGTCTATATTCGAGTTCTTATGGGCAAGTGTACAAATCAGTTAGGAAGTTCCATTTGGTGGTCACTTCTGTCGGATCGAAATGTCAACTGTTTTCACTTGTGTACTCTTTGTAGTAAGAGATTATACATGTTCTGCTCTGAATGTCAACTGATTTTTATATTTTTAAGTTTTTAAGCTGCTTCATTTCTTTTCCAGAGTACTTAAGTTTAACTCCATTCAGTTGTATGTTCACATTTTTCTGTTATAATATGACATCAAAGTAGCTATGACTACTTTAATGATTCAATTTGATATACTTACATTTAATTACAGGAAGTATGTTCCTCATTTTGGTATTTTTGGTTACTAAAACACCATAACTTTTGGGATTCTCAATCTGCACAACCTCACTTGGTATGAAGGTCCTGTTATAAGAAGTTGGGGAGAAGGAAGTAACAGAGATGGTACTCAACTTTTTCAAGTTTTTGGGCTGCCTCAGGGATTCAAATTTTGCGTCAAGTGGATTGCCACACTCAGTTAGGTATGTTGTATTACACCTTCGTCTAAGTAAATGTTCATTATTAACATAACTTCACCATAAAACTATCACCTTTGGCTGTAAATTTGTGGAATTAATGTAGTATATTCTGTCTCAAATTTTTGCTGTAGTATCTTTCTCACTTCCTTGCCAATATCTCTACCGATCAACTTTTAGGTACTTTGACATCTTACTGTGCCATAAATACTGCGACTGGAGAAGCTTACGCGGACTCCAATTGTACCATGTTGTTGTTCTAGACTAAGATACCATCATCTTGTAACTAAAAACTCCCAACACTCTTTAACTTTTTGGGTTGTATTATCACTACTACTGCAACAATGTTTGGATAAGTGTATCTGCACGACACGCTTGTGTCTATTGTAAATATTGTGAGCCTTATCTATAATAGTGTGATATCAAGGTTGTATTCCAGCAGTCTTGTGCTCAATCATTTGTTCAAGGTTCTTGGTAAACTCTGATTTCAGTGGCTTCCGTCATTGGTCAGAATGAACTCTTTTTTTATCCTCTTTTATTTCTCAGTGTAACAACTTGGACATTCTTCTTGTAGACTGAAATATCTTTTCTTTAGGCTCCGAGTCTTTTTTGGGATGTAGACACCGGATCCTATGACTAAAGTATTGGGAAATAACTGATTATGTATTGACTCTGTATCTATATGATTATATGCTCTGTTGACCCAGCTCTGCTGCTTCCATCAGCACGTGATCATGTCGGTTGGAGACAACCTAAAAATAATGTTGGACTGGGCAATGAGGGATGTCAAAATGTGGTGAGTTATTGTGTAGCACCTATTCGTCTTCGCGCAGCTGCTCTTGGCAAGTTGTATAAGCATGTGCCTTCTGACTGATTCTGGTTTACATTATTGTTTTCTCTGGTGTCATTTCTTTCCTTTGGCGTTTTCCTAAAGGAATTAGATTATCAATTTCCTTAAGTTATCTGTTTGTCGGCAAGCGATGTTAACGTGATATAGTACTAGATTGACCTAAAGTCTTTCTATTTATCCGGCTAGAATTCAAATAGAATTGAAGGAAAATGAATGTGATAAGACAGAACAAAATTTTAATTTTTTGGGGTTCCTTTGGCTTTTCCATTTTTCCCTCTGTTTCAACTCCTCTTCTTCTTCTAGACTTTGGACTTCTCTGAATTTTCGAGCTTTCTTAACTTACCACTTTTTGGTGTTTCTGAGCTTTATCCCATCTCCGCAAGCGTCATGTGTAATAAGATTCTAACTTGGAGATTTATGGTGCCTTCAATTTTTCGTACGATTTCCTCAATTTGAGATAGCCTTCAAATTTTGTGCTGATTTTAAATATTTGATTTGATTTAGCTACTGCTATGTTTTACTTTCTGATGTTCACATCCACTTTTCCAGTTCTATTGTTGATTCATGAAGTTTTGTTATAGGTTTTCTTGAGTCCTATATTTGGTACTCTGAGACAATTCATGGCTGTGTCAACTATGCTTTTGTTGGGGTTTGGGTATTTTGTTATGGTACTTGGAGTTACTTCACATAATGGGGTTGTTGTCGTTATTCAGTTCTTCCAGTGGCGTTTTCATGGTGATACAGATATGCAATTCTCTTTCTCTGCTTTTGTATGTGTTTTCTTTTTTTGTACATCTACCACTTTCTTTTTGCTTTCTGGTTTCTGATTTTGTCTGTTTCTTATGAGTATTTTGTATCTTTTTCCATGTTTTGGACTGTGTATAATTACCACTGGTTTCTGTTTTTGAACTCATTAGTCTCTAATGATGCTCTTTTGTCTGTTTTCTATCACTAACATTTTACATGTTAAGTTAACCTTGGAAATTGAGCTTCGTTTTGTTTTGTGATTTTGGTGGTATTTATGGCTGTGTTGATTTGTATTTCTGGAGTCTGCAGCTTAGAGGTTCTTGAGAAAAGAAGGATTAGAGTGATTAATGACATGTTATAAGAAGTTGAAAATGGCATCATCTTCTGCTGAAAATAGTCCAGTCCTACTCAGAGTAGCACCTCCAAATTATCATCCATATCCATCTCCCTTGGTTACATATGAGAATGTTGTGACCTCTTCCCAACTGTTTATGGATACTTTGTAGAGGCTCCATACTGCCATGAGAACTAAGTTCATGTGAGTCTTCTCTTCTCTTTTTTGCCTAATATGGAACCTATGCCCTTTTATGAGTTTTTTTTGGTAAGATTGCATGCACCTCGACTGTTTCACTGTTGAAATGGATTTGAACTTAACAAAATGAATATAGAAAAGATTCATATAAATGCAAGTTTTTGGTGTATTATAAGGTACCGATAAAGATATACAAGTTATTTCCAGCAGCCAATGTAGTGTTTCATGCACCACATAGCTCTGCTAGGATCACTACAATGCTTCACACCTATCAAGTAAACAAAAGATCAACTATGCTTGGATGCAGAGGAATTTTCAAGATACTGTAAAGAACAAATACAAGTCTGAAGAATGTTGGTTACAACATATATACAAATTTTACACGGTGAAAAGTCGTATAAATTTATTTATTTAAAAAAATGCAGACAATGATACAACACGATCCTCATGTATTTGTAGGAAAATTATGGACGGGAGCTTTTGACACTATCAGCTGTGAAAATAAATCTTGTGCTTCAACAAGTGAGAGAGTTGGAGATCTTATATTTGGACATATCTTTGCATCATATATCTGTGAATATGTATATTATTGTGTATTTTTAACAAATATAATTCTGTCTGTTCTCCTTAATTAAGGGATGTTGAATTAGTTCTTTAGTACTATACTTTGTGATCAAATAACTACGCAAATCATTTAAAAAGATAAAAGGAAAAATTGTATGAAATAACAAACTATTAATTCAAATTAAATGCTATAGTCATAGTTTATTTTATTTGTAATTCGCAGTAAACATCTCATTTTTTTGCCATCTGATTCGGTATACAATTAGCCATTTTCGATATACAACTAGTCATTTTATACATTTGTTTTAAAATTATTCTTGATTGCTAACATATATTACTATCTTCTCACAGAAGCTAATGAATATGAAGATGTAAGCCAAGAATTTATTTTTTGTGATTTAAGTTCTAACATTTTGAGGTTGTTAATTTACAAAATTTATACCAATGTCTACTGCCTACATAATTGCAGGCAATGAAGAAGTAAAGTGTCACCTCCACTCACATAAATCGATCACCATTTGATATCTTTTATTTTATTCTTCAAGTCAAATCAACGCATGGATATAAAAAACATACTTCCTCCATCTCATATTAAATGGACATTTTACTAAAAATACTTGCTTCATATTACTTGATTCACTTACTAAATTAGGAGAGAATTAATTAATTTTTTCTCATTATACCCCTACAATTAATATGTCCTTTGGAAGTTTAAACAAACTTTGATGACCCAAGAATATATTTTTTTTCAAGAGGCTAATTAATATGAACAAAAGGTAAAATAGTAAAGTTGATCAATTTGTTAATGATTTTTTAATTACCGTGAAAAATTGAAAGTGTACATCTAATATGGGACAGAAAAAGTAACAATTTAAAATGTCAATGTGATCAGTTCTACAAAGACTTACAGTGTCTGAAAGAATTTAAACAACATTTGGTATAAGATTTGTGTACCTTTGATTGTTGCAGTGGAATGAAATTCACGAACTGGATGATTTGCTCCAAATCCTTCTTTGAATCACTAGGAAACAAAGATAGCGTTTCACAAACTAAATGTTCTTTTTGTTGTGCGTCTTTAATCTAAGAAGATTTTCTTGTTCTCTTTTGAGTTTTTGTTGTTTTTTTGTCTTCACTAATCTAAAAAGTAAAAAGAAATAAACTTGATTTAAAAAGGAGAGCATATTAACGTGGGAACAGTTACATCCCACCCGTTTTTGAATAAGTATTTATCTTCTTCTTTTTTATTTAGAAAAAAGACAATCTTGAGTTGGATTGGGTCAAATCGGGTTGGGTCGGTCCACATGGGCGACCCACAATCCAAAACTTACATCTCCCACTTCGCACATGGTGGACAAGCCCAAACCAACACAACATCACTAAACACACAATTCATACGACAAATAGTTCGTGCGACATGTGAGTATCAAGAACTTACCTTTAAGGTTTTACAAGCCCTACATAGGAATTCAATCACATGTGGAAAGAATTCATTATTATTATAAGGACATCATTACTCACAATACCCTCAGACTTCATTCAATACTTCAATAATTACTTATTCGACCCCTCATCCTCTTAAAGAGGTTAACTCGAGTTCATGTTTAACTTTATACACACAATTACACTCTATATGTTTAGTGCAATAGCCGGCTTGTGTATACAAGTTTATTACTCAATTAATCGTCTTTCCTATTTACTCGAATCTATCTGATCCAATTCAACTGCTTTCACATGTACTGCATTGTTGAATCATTCATGGCTATTAGTAACATGCTAAAGTAGCTACATCGATTGAAACTTCAAGAAACAACAAAAGGTCAAAGGGCATTTCATTGAAAAGTCATTTTAACTTTTCAGGGTCTCACATAGTATTTTGAAAGGTGGGGTCGTGGGGCGGGGCATTTTACTTAGTATAGGGGGAGGCGTAAGCCTTGAGACGTGGGGCTTAAGCCTTATGGATCTTTGAAATTTTAATTTACAATATAGTATAATAATATAATGACACAGAATTATAAAAATACATCAATAGTTTGAAATAATTACAAACATGATTAAAGAAACTCATAGAAAATAAAACTTCTAACATGATTATACAAGTATAAATAATCTAACATCATTATACAAGTATAAATAATCTAACATCTTAACTTTCTAATAATAAAAGAATCATTATTTCTAAAAAAAATGTTTTTATCATATTATACAATTAACCCCCTAAAAGAAAATAATCAATAAAACTTACTAGTATTATAATAAAAAAATATCACTCCATCATGATTATAAATATTACTTTCAAATAGCTAAATAAAATATGATAATTTTGAGACATATGACAAAACCATGAAGACCAATCATAAGTGAAAACATAAAATTTCGCTACGTATTTTTAAAAGAAATGTTACGTAATATATAATCACTTTCATAGTGTTACGAAATAGTAAAAATGTAATACTACAACTTATTATTTGAGTTGCTCTCTGATTAAAGGTAACGCTATCAAAGTTGCTTCATCCAATACTAAGCATCAACGATCGTTCAATAGTAATATAACTCAACTAGTGAGTTGGGGTCGAGTCCCAAGGGAGTTGTTCGTACTCAAGAATCAATAAAAAGCATAAATATGCTCAAGTCAATCATAACTAAAAACATTTACAAAGAAAAACATAATTCAAGTGTGGGGTGACACAAGTGTCAAATATCAAAGGGGGTTTGTTTGTACTATCAACTAAAACAGTAAAAACACGAAAATACGAATATGGAGACGGGATTCTTGGAATGCGATAGGATTATGGGATAAGGTAAACAACCGAGTAATTGCAATTAATAGTAAACAAATGCAAATCACTGAATAAGCTAGACTTTAGTGGGGGTAAATTTTCTCTCGAACACCAATAAACAGCAATGAAGCACAACCTTCGCTTTAGTCCATTCACTCTCTCGAGATGAATGTGTGGAAAAGGGTTTAGGATTCACTCTCTCGAGCTAAATCCATGACAACCCAATACCCACAGACCATTGATTTAGCAATTTTGGTTTTAAAACCTCTCTCTCGAGCAAGCCAAAAATACAAAGTTAGGATTGTATTTGCAACTACAACCCATTAAATTCAACCACAATTACCGAATGAAATCACTTTTAAACAACAAATAAACTATCAATTAACAATACCCAATAGTTAAATCAACCCATAATCACATAATCACACCCCAAGAATTGGGGTTTTAACTAGACATAGTAAAAAGGTAAAAATCGTTACTAAGTTGTGTTTCCATCAACTGAGTAAGATTGATATAGTCTTTACAAAGGTCTAAGATGAAGAATCTTCAACACTCACTTCCAATTTCTTAGAGATGGAAATCTTCAAATCTTCGAAGCTAAAGATATATTGTCTCTCTATTCAGTTCTAAACTCTAAACTTCAAAAACTGAACAATACTATGATATGAGATACTAAACTAAAAATTTAAACAAGTATTTATAGTTGTCAAAAAGTGTGCTGTGAAGGACCAGTCGGCGCAATAAGTCGGGATCGCTGATCCACTCAGCGATCCGCCCTTTGGTCATTTGTATCGCCTTTTTGCTTTTGCCTTCAGCATCCTTGAGGTCCTGTAACTTTGGGCGATAAGGCACTGTATCGCGGGACTGTTCGGTGACTCGCCGACTGCTCCTGTCTATCGCCGACTTGATTTTATCCTTCAGGGCTTGGCACACTGGAACATTAGGCGAGACCCAGTCCATTCGGCGACTCACCCAATGGTTTAGGCAATCCTCGGGCCTTCTTTTCTTCATTCTTTCAGCTGCCTTGTTCCTTTTTGCTCAATAGTGTGCATGCTTTGTCCCTAAGTCCAAATACTTAAAATTCAAGGATTTACATCAGTTATTGAGACAAAATATGTATTTTGAGGACACTAAAATCTATTAAAATAAAGCCCTAAATGAGTCCAAATCGTGGACTCATCAACACCCCCAACTTAAACTTTTTGCTTGTCCTCAAGTAAAACTCAAGTTCAGCAGTTCAAAATGATGTCTCAAACAGTGCTACACAAGACTCAATCATGAATGCACACAAGAAGACTCAATTTACTCATGCAAGGATCAATTGTGCAATCAAAGATTCAAGTTGTGACTCACCATTACCAAAGAATCTCAAGCTCACAATACTTGCTTCAAATGCAAGTTCAAGCTCAACAAAGGTACTCAAATACCCTCAGACAAAGGATGATTCCATATTCACACACAATAGTTCAACAATTTAAAGTTCCGGAATCAAATGCAACGCTCACACTCACAAAGATGAACACAATGTATGATTTCAACCATAGGTTTGCTCGTATTTTCCAACCAACTTTTGTTTCAGTTCACTCAAGATCAAAAAGGTCTTTTCAAGGCTTGTAATGGGGATGAGTGCAAAGGTATGATCATATAGGCTCAATGGCTATAGTCCTCATGAAATGTGGTGTGAACAACACTTCCTTTCCTTTTCTTCATCATTTTCATTTGTGCTTACAAGTCATCCCATCATTCACTTTCCATGGACTATTGGAAACCCCTTTTTTTTTTTGCATTTTTCAACTTTATTCCACAATTCATTCATTCTTTTTCTTTGCCATTCTTTTCTTCTTCTTTTTTTGTATGGAGGGGTTCCATTTTTTTACAAAACCATGGGTCAAAAGGGGACTTTCTTGCACTTCTTGATTTACCTTCTCTTTTCGCCACACCCCAACTTAGGCTTTTCACCTAAGTTGGATATTCAAACAAACCACAAATCATGAGGATTATGGGTAATGGATTAAGAAAGGTTATATTTTTATCATGTTTTTTCCAAGAAAAGGTTAAGGCTCAAAGGGTGCTCAAAAGGAGTTCACACACTCACAAGGTTGGCCACAAAAAAGGAATAATGTCAAATTGTTTCTCTCTTAAAAGTTGCCTAAGATCCTATCAAGAGATTGCATCACTTAGTCAGACGGGCCAACGGGGCAAATCCTAGGTGTCATCACACATGGTTCATGGTAAGCTCATCACACAAGGCATTGACACCAAAGTCAAACAAGACTCCACACTTTCGCTAGTGTGCAATGTTCATC